CGTTTTTGTATTAAAAATGAAACAGAGGTAAACATCCTTAAAACTAGTGTGTCGAGTACAGCTGACTACGATATTTCGTTGGCGTCAGAATCAATGCAAAAACAAGCGTCTCAAGACGAGAAAAAGTTTGAAAGCATGCATCAAATTATCCATTTATCATGACGTCACACTTCCAAGTCAGGAGGTGTTTTCCGAATTAACGAAAATCCAATGAAATTTGCCATATTTTGATGTAGATGTATCTCAAACATTATCCACACGCATACTGTCGACTGCATCCAGAATCACCTGTCCAAAAGGTCTGTTTCCTCATATGGTGTACCCTTCGAATGAATCTTTGAGATAATCAAACTGAAAGTTACTAATAGGCCCATATGGAATATCAGCAAGATACTCATTTTTGCTTTACCATTTGTCTTTTACGCCATCATTTCGTCCACTTTAAACCCCCTTGCAGTGCTTTCACGACTGCCAGCAACGAAATGATGTTAGTTTTGCCTTCGCCTGTTTAGATTTGGCACAAACGCCTTGATTTTCTCGTTTGTGCAGAAAAACCAAAGCAGCCAAAATATGCATGTCACGAAAACAAAAGCTCTGTCCATTAGGGCGATCGCTTCACAAATATCATCTGAGTTGCCTGTTAAGTGACTTTTTATTTGAACAGCCCGTGTATGAATGTCTTTAAGCTTTTTACACTTCTATTGTGCATATCTGCTTTTCACGAGGTGATATGTAGCTTCGATTCCTTCTTTGTCTTGTTATTCACTTGAATCTTCTGTTTCCTCTCTATCTTGTTTTGGGTCAACGGGATAGGGATCCATTCCCAGACGCATTTTTTCCATTAACTGATCGAAGGGCGTGCAAGCATCTGGTGAAGGTTTCTTCATTTCTGGAAGTTCTTGAATAATGTCGCTAAGAATACTCGGTACCAGTTGATCTTCAACTTTTATGTCTTCTTCTTTGCGGGATTTATAAAATTACTTTAATTTATCAGCATCGAGGTGCAAAACTTTACTTATGCTTTACACAAATTGTCATCAACTTCGATGTTGTTCAAAAGTTCTAAAACGGCCTGCAACTTCTTCATTTCTGACCATTCGGTTTTATAGTTCCTGATTAAATCAGTTAAATACATGCACGCATTCATTGATTTTTTTGAGTCACCTGCAAACCAAAAAAATATGAATGAAGTGATAAATCACAAGTACAGACTCATCATCATATTTTGTACATTTTAGATTTATTCGGCAAACTTTTGTGCTGACGTCATCAATTTTTTGGAGGGGATAAGTAAATATTTTGTGATTAAACTTTTATCATGTTTATCATAACTGCAAATCATTTGCAAAATTTCAAAGCATTCGGTTTTGCAGATTCCAAATTAAATGTCAAAATGTTGCTTCCTAATTTTAATTTTTTTTTCCAAAAAGGTGGACGCTTCGGGTAAAATCTCAATTCAGAGTCATAAATTACGTGTGTAATACTATGTTACAATCGGCCCAGTACTTTCAGAGATTGTCTGTCTGATAAAAATCCGGGACGGCAAACAGACGGACAGACTGATGGACAGACAGACGGAAACGGGAGACCTATTTCTTCGTCCTCTAGGGATCATGATATGTCGAAAAAATGCAAAAGTAGAAAGTCCACCGACAGACTTGATTACAATACTTCCGTTGCTTACGCTCGGGAAGTAAAAAAATATAGTAGTCAAAAGAGATTTAAATGGACCAAGACTACCGAAATATCTTTTATTTTTTACAGGCAAGTCAAAAAACATTCTTATTAATAAGTCATTGGTATTGGCAGTTTAAAGCCACTTAAGATTTATATCAATACAATTAAATTAAATCATAATAATGACCTATTTATAAAACTCATGTTGCGTTTCTGGTAAACAAATAATTGATTTTGCGATACTATTCAAATTCTTATCAGCACTTAATGATGTTAAAAAGATCTATGATATTTATTCACTTCGTTCTGAGAACTCTTGCCGGTTCGTCATCATTTTTGTAGTATTTAAGTTGAAGAACTCGTTGAACTTTTAGTACACCCATAGAGTTTGCACAGCATCAAATATACTTCAAGGTAAATAATTCGGTAAGAGCTTGACTGAAAATTTGACACATATTTTTAGATGTTTACAAAAGAAACTCATCTTTGTATTAAAAATGAAACAGATATTGACATCGTTAATACGAGTGTATCGGGTACAGATAACTTCGATTGGGACCACGGTGCAGGTCCTCACAGAAATTTCGTTGGCGTCAGAATTAATGCAAGAAAAAGCGTGTCAAGGAGAGAAGAAGTTAACAGGCATGCATCAAATTGTCCATTTACCATGACGTTACACTTTCAAGATGGCACTAAAGATATTTTCAGAATTAACCAAAAGTTTGCTATCGATGATGCTGATGCAGGTTTCTCTCACCGGAGTAAATGTCATGAAATTTCCTATTGGCGTGATGGCAAAACGCTTGTTATCTGCGTCAACCATACCAAACGAGTACAAACGGACACAGTATATGCGCTGACATAAGCGCAAACACTAAACTTGTAAACTAAGCACATTTTAATATTGTTAATACTTTTTAATTATTTTCTCTTCGAGCTTAGCGAAACAAGTTAGTATTGTATCGAGTCCCTCAACCGTCTTATTATATTGCATAATTAACGTCACCGATGTTGTATGAAAAAATATACTCTTGTACTTGTGGTTTATATCTTGATTTTATTTATTACTATTATATTTTATTGTTTGAACTGTCTTGTTCTTGCCAATATAGAACGTAACGCTCTTATAGCAAGTAAGTATAACCAAGTGGCAGAGTAACTCCTTTGTAATTGCCTTCATATAATTTTAAAGTGTCATTTTAATCAAAATTCTTTTGTAAACAATAAAAATGTAAATCTCCGAATTCTAATACGAAAGTAAAGAATTTCAGGGATACTTACTTTAAAATAAACAAACATGTATTTTATTCCAACATTTTATTTCGAAACATACGAACAAATGAAAAAGTTAAAAGCTGAAATTTTTGATAATTGTCAGTGAAAATAGTTTTCGCTAACGGTTTTGTATAACTTACACCTAGGTTTTGTACATTTTCACTGTCACGACTCTGAAGCTAATCAGAAAAGTCGAAAAAATCAATGTCATCATTAACTGAAAGTTCTATACAATATTTTTTTAAGTAATTGAAATATTGGTGTAGGGACGTGACGTTCCTTAAAACCAAAATTTTTCAAAGTTGCTGAAAATACATTCTTCGGAATCAATTTGACCCCTCCCCCCGGGCCAAGGGGTTTAATGTTTAAAAACATGTCTAGCCTTTCATTTTACTTTCCATGTTCAAAAAAATTTTGCGTCAAATTGGTAAAGGTTATGACGTCATCAATGATTTCTTTAAATGAGACGCTGTAATTTTGATCGGATTATTTGATAAATCTTATTTTTCTACATATGAAAATGTAGCTTGATGTAGGACTTGCATAACAAAAAAAATCGAGAAAATTAATAACAAATGAAATAAACATGATATGAAATCCAAACAAGTAAAAATTGAAACAAAAATCTTTCAAAGAGAATCTCTTTTGTCAGTTCCTTAAGTTGGTTTAATAAAATAAAGAATACATTTTGGCTGTATGCAATCTGGTAGTTTGAGACTTGTAAACAAATATGTTTTTTGTTTATCTATATTTCTGTCAAAGTCGCATAAAATGGCTCGTTTAACCGAAAAGAGAAGCAATCCTAATTTATGGCGATAGGTTTCGAAGTCATCAAGAAGTGTGTTCACCGAAGCACATTTTGAACGACCACCAATTGCTAGAAGCACAATTAGTAGAATTGTTGCAAAATTTAATCAAACAAAAAACGTGAGAGATGTTCCAAGATGTGGAAGACCACAAATAAACGATAACACCAAGTTGAATCTCTTGTTACCATTGGAACGACGGAATGGCCTTACAAGAAAATGTTAGCCAGTCGTTTGTGGTAAAGTTTTTAAAAAAAGAGAAACTGCAACCATATAAAGTTTAACCCATCCATGAACTATCAGAAGATGACCCTGACAGACGATGGAAATTTTGTGAAAGCTTTATGTAACATTGTGACGATAATCCCAATTTTTTAAATAGTGTCGTATTTTCGGATGAAGCAACATTTTACTAAAGTCGATAGAACTGCCATTACTGGGCTCGAGAACAACCTCATTGGGTTCAAGACACACACCCAATGTCCCTAAAAAATTAATGTTTGGGTGGGAATAATAAACAGAAGATTCATTGGCCCCTACCTTTTTCACGTAAATTTAACAGCAGGTCGATATTTAGATCATCTGACGTTAATATTGAATGACTGTTTAAAGACACTTAAAATCAATGTCACGTAAATTTAACAGCAGGTCGATATTTAGATCATCTGACGTTAATATTGAATGACTGTTTAAAGACACTTAAAATCAATGTCAAAACAATTAAATTAAGTCATGATAATGATCTATTTATAATTATAAAACTGATATAATATGTTTCTAGTGAAAAAAATTTTGCAATACTATTCAAATTCTTATCAGCACTTAATAATATCAAAAAGATCTAAGATATTTATTTACATAATTCTGAGAAGAGAACTCTTTTAGACTCGTCATTATTTTTGTAGTATAAACTTTGCACACCATCAAACATACTTGAAGGTAAATAATTCTGTAAGAAATTGACTGAAAATTTCATACATATTGTTAGATGCTTAACAAAGAAACTCGTCTTTATATTAAAAATGAAACAGAGGTTAACATCCTTAAAATAAGTGTATCCAGTACAGCTGACTACGATTAGGACAACGGTGCAGGTCCTCATAGAAATTTCGTCGGCGATTAAATTGATTGATTGATTTTACGATACTATTCAAATTCTTATCATTCTGAGAACTCTTGCCGGTTCGTCATTTTTTTTGTAGTATTTAAGTAGGAGAACTCGTTGAAATTTTAGTACACCCATAGAGTTTGCATAGCATCAAACATACTTCAAGGTAAATAATTCTGTAAGAACTTGATTGAAAATTTGACACATATTTTTAGATGCGGACCAAAAAAACTCTTCTTTGTATTAAAAATGAAACAACGGTTGACATCATTAAGACGAGTGTATCGGGTACAGATTCCTTCGATTGGGACAAAGGTGCAGGTCCTCACAGAAATTTCGTTGGCGTCAAAATTAATGCAAAAAAAAGCATGTTAAGGAGAGAAGAAGTTAATAGGCATGCATCAAATTGTCCATTTACCATGACGTTACACTTCCAAGATGGCACTAAAGATATTTTCAGAATTAACCAAAAGTTTGCTATCAATGATGCTGATGCAGGTTTCTCTCACCGGACTAAATCTCATGAAATTTCCTATTGGCGTGATGACATAACGCTTGTTATCTCCGTAAAACATACCCAACAACAACTAGAAGATATGTTAGCCGAAAAGCTACGCAAAGATGCAGCCCGACTGCTACAGCAAAAACAGTACGAAGCAACTTTAAAACAACTAGACGAAGCTCTTAGCCATGCCAATCAAGCATCAACCAAGACCAACATTCATAACGACCAAGCTAAGGTTTTATATCAGTATGGTTTGAGTCTAATGACCGAAGGCTTCGATCTGGAAGCCAAAAACAACGCCCAAGAGGCTGAGAAAAAGTTCAATGATGCTAAAGCAAAGTTACAAAGAGCCGAGTCTTTGCACCACGACACCAACCACCAGACGAACATCAACCTCATTAATTTGAAAATCGAAGCAAATAAAATTTTCAACGAAGCTTCGAAGCAGGAGAAGGAAGCTTACGATTTGTTCACGATTGCCAGGAAATCCGGGATATTTAATGATTACGCTTCGGCCCAAAATAAATATAAAGAGGTGTCAGCTAAGTATGAAGAAGCGTTGAAGAAATTTGAAGAAGGGGCCAAGACTAATTCGAAATTTGGCGAGTGTGTAAACATTACCAAAGAAGAAATTGAAGCAATAGAGAAAGTGGTTGACGATATTGATAAAGCGCAACTAAGTTATACTATGAGTCAGGTTCAGGTCAGTGATGATAAAGAAGAAGAGAATGAAGAAGCCCAACAGGTTAATACAAATCTTCAGGAACAAATCGACGCCTAAAGTACTTATAGAACGCTTACAGTTTAACAAACTAATTACATGTACATAGTTTCTAATGCATCTGTTAAAATAATAAAACCTTGTCTATTCATAGAAAATAAAAATAATTTGGGCTAATGTTTTGTCAAAATTGTTAAACGCATAAACACTTGAAACCAAATTAATTATGAAAATTACACATTTCACGAAAACATCGTGATTAATTTAAGATTCCAATTTACGTGTTTAAACCGCTTTAAAAAAGTTTCACTGTATTAAACTAGTGTGCTTAAAATGGCACCAGTTTCTGAAACCAGATGGTATTTTTTAATGGAAAACTACAACAACTATTGAATAACGGACACATAAATATTTGCATGTAAAAAATAATCTGTGCATATTTTTCCGAAAAGTGTTCCAGTTAAGATTTGAATTTGTGACTACATGATTAGCACACATCAATCGCCTCCTAAAAACAAAAAAAAACTAATTCCCGAAAGTTAACAGAAAGATTATTATAATAATTATGAATTTAACAGATGAAAAGATTAAACTGTTGTTTTACCTTGCGTTTAATCCTGATGTTCTTAAGGAACCTGTTTAACAAGACTTTTATTAATTATTGATAGATTGGAGATAGGAGCTTTCAAAATAGTAGCACGGTCACTAAACAAGCGCTAGCCGTTTCATAATTTTTTACCGCATTCGTTTTTTAATGCAAATTTCACGCAGAAAAACAACCGTAATTTTGAATAATTTCCTACTACATCAAATTCTTACGATTTCCTTGCCCATCGACGCGGCAATAATTTTGTTTTAGCTGGTCGTTTCATGTCTGCAAGGTCTTAACATGAAAACGCATTTTTATTAATTTAGTGTCGTCAAAAATAAACTCTAAATCTAGCGTAGACGGCTTGCATTCGCAACGGAAGCTCAATTCTTTCCACCGCCACCACGCGTTATTCTTTTTCTGCCTTCATTCAACAGCGGCTGCAGCTACACCCAAGCACGTCATCTCGTGTTTACGTCGTTTGGACAATATGAAGTTATTCTAAGCCAATTAGCCTCATTTAGAGGCCTGCATTAAGCTCTTAAAATTGCTCCGCCCACTCTGAGACCATTACCAATTTGTCAATTGGGGCCGCAAACCTTCTCCCTCGAGTGGCATAATATTTATGGGTCTACCTCACAAGTGGCTGTCGAAGACATGGTGCAGAAGCGAAAATCCCGAGCACTTCAGGTTCGTGCACCCTAAACAGTGGAGGAGGTATCGGAATGTTGAAACCGAAAGAGAAGATCAAATAATAATATTTTTTAACAACTGCATAAAATTCTTTGTCTGTGCTACGAGTTTTGACCGTGTCATCTTCAGATTTATTTATTTTTTTGTTTTTTAATTAATTTTTGGTAAAATTTTATTTTCTGTTGCTTCTGGTTCGTTATTTATAATCACTGAGATCAATTGTGGCTCGTTATGCATAGGTCACTGTAAATTAGAGGTTAATTGGTCACACAATATAATCAGTTAATATTGATACTACGGATTACAGTAATTTTAGATTTTTGAAACAATTCATTGTCTTGTTATTGCTAAAATGAAAATTAGTCTAAACTTATTTAGGCAGAACTTTACAACTGAAATTTAATGTCGACGAGCACCATTTTTGTGAAGTAATTGTGATTAAAATTCACGGCGTGTTCATAAACCACAAGTACAGGAATATATTATTTTATCAAAATTAAATAGTAGTTACTGACGTCACTTTATCAAATTGTTAGTGGGGATCCTTACACAAATTTTAGTTAGCGTTTCGCCATCTATGCGGTATTCTTAACATACCTACATTTAATTTTGACAACAATCGATCCGGTAGTTTCGTAGATAATTATTTATCTAATTAAAATCAACACACCTACTATTTTTCCATACTCTAGGGGTCATGAAACGTCGAGAAAACATGAAAATAGTCATTCACCCGATTGACCCTATTACAATACTTCTTTAGCTAACCGTCGGCAAGTAAAAGTGGCATACAGGTGAACATTTATTGTCAAATACTATATCGATTGAACTTTTTAAGCTGGATGAAATTTGTTATTCTCAAAACTGACCTAAATTTTATTTTTTTTTTGTGCTGTAATAAGAATTCGTTGATACCAATTGAAACAATAATTGTTGATCATGTTGTACAAAATATAAGTTATAAGTATCTGTTTGGTATAAAATCCACCTTTCATTCTAAAAATAAAGTAAATCACTTAAACACAAGACGGGGTGGGTGGGCGAGGCTAAGTATATTCTTCTGTCGAATGGGAGTGGAAACTAATAGAACCTAGGATGTGAAAAACGTAAAAAAAAGCGGTAATCGTAACAGTATAAAGAACTAAAAAAGTAATTTCTTGTATAAAAAATTATTTCTTATTTCAGAAGAAAAAAAAAAGAAAACGAATGGGTGGGTGGGCGGGGCTAGGTTTTACTTTTCTTTACTGAGTCTTTTATGCATAAGCAATAGTCCCGCCCACCCACCCCCTCTTCGTTCTAGTGACTACTCGTAATACTGTTAACTAATTATTATTTTATTACAATCTTATACAAATCCATTGGTGAGAAAATAAATGAGAGGTGTGAATCATATTTACAAACCAATATTGGTGATGCTCCTCCCACTCGCACAAGCTCCACCTTTCCTTACAAAGTATTTTATAAGCAAGCAGTAGCCCCGCCCACCCACCCCCTCTTCGTTCTAGTAACTGTATTTAATATTGTTCAGTCATATTTTAGCAAGTAGTAGCCCCACCCACTCGCCCTCTATTTTCTTAGAGGGTGTTATTTGTCCAAATCGCTCTTATCTTGGTAGGGACTATATAATATATACAATATGGGCGGGGCTAAGTATATTCTTCTGCCGAATAGGAGTGGAAACTAATAGAATCTAGGATGTGAAAAACGTAAAAAAGCAATAGTCGTAACTGTTTTATATAGAGAACTAAAAAAGTAATTTCTTGTATAAAAAATTGATTTCTTATTTCAGTAAAAAAAGAAAACGGACGGGTGGGTGGGCGGGGCTAGGTTTTATTTTTCTTTACTGAGTCTTTTATAAACCGGCAATAGCCCCGCCCACCCACCCCTTCTTCGTTCTAGTGACTACTCGTAATACTATTAACTAATGAGAACATTATTATTTTATTGGAATCTTAGACAAATCCATTAAACCGTTGGTGAGAAAGTAGATGAGAGGTGAGAATCATATTTACAAAGCAATATTGCTGATGCTCCTCCCACTCGCACAAGCTCCACCTTTCTTACAGAGTATTTTATAAGCAAGCAGTAACCCCGCCCACCTACCCCCTCTTCATTCTAGTAACTATCAAGTACGAGCCCCACCTACCCGCCGTCTATTTTCTAAGAGGGTGTAATAACATACCAAGATAAGAACGATCTGGACATATTTGTCCAGATCGTTCTTATCTTGGTAGGTACTATATAATAAATACAATATGGGCGGGGCTAAGTATATTCTTCTCTCGAATGGGAATGGAAACTAATTGAACCTAGGATGTGAAAAACGTAAATAAAGCGCTAATTGTAACTGTTTTATATAAAGAACTAAAAAAGTAATTTCTTGTATAAAAATTTATTTCTTATTTCAGAAAAAAAAAGAAAACGGACGGGTGGGTGGGCGGGGTTAGATTTTACTTTTCTTCGCTGAGTCTTTTTTATAGACAGGCAATAGCCCCGCTCACTCACCCGCTCTTCGTTCTAATAACTACTCGTAACACCGTTAATTAATGACAACATTATTATTTTATTAGAAATTTATTAATCTATTGGTGAGAAAATAGATGAAAGGTGAGAATTATATTTACAAAGCAATATTGCTGATGCTCCTCCCACTCGCACAAGCTCCACCTTTTCTTAAGAGTATTTTATAAGCAAGCAGCACTTAATATTGTTCAGTCATATCTTAGCAACTACTAGCCCCACCCACCCGCCCGCCCTCTATTTTCTTAGAGGGTGTTATTTGTTCAAATGGGTCTTATCTTGGTAGGTACTATATAATATATACAATATTTATTTGGCGTCGGTTTAATAATGCATAGATAGTTGACAGATTTTTGTTCTCAAATGATGGCAGGTTTCACAGCTCGTAAAATTCGAAAATCCAGGTTTACCGTTTCCGCTTGTCTGCGTTCTGTAGACGATTTTATTATGCGAATACGAATTATCAGAAAATTCCCGTACCAGTTGTACTTGGAGTCACTGCCGCGATTACACCCAATGACGCAATTCCTTCTACAACGAGCGATTTATTCAGGGAGCCGCAATTCAACTCCACCCGTGACGAGAAGCATTTAATTACCCTGCCTCTACATGTGTTTAAATTATTATTAAATAAAGTTAAAATCGTGCAAATACCGCGTGACACAAATGAGTGAGTCTGTTGACGGTCCTGGATTTTTAGTTGAAATCGATATTATGATGTTTTCTATAATTTCCGGTTGGTAGCTGTCAAGATTGACAGATTGTTGACATTTTTAAATTCACAAAATGTATTCAAAACATGACCTAAATATATCACATGTCACGATTGACATATCCCTCACAGAATTACTTTAGTTATACCAACGTAGACGCAAGAAAAGTAATGCCAACAGGCTCAGTCATTTCTGATCACGTGGTATTTGCACATTGTTTTTTAAAAACACTTTCTATCTGTTATATAGCATTTTCCTCTTCTTTTATAAAGAATTTAAATCTGTAGATAATAATATATAAGGTAACACGTTTAAAAAATACAACTATGGTGCGTCCACTCGGAACACTCTGTATATTATTTCAAGAATTCACCGGAAATGTTAATCTTTCGCTGTCAGACCGCTACTTGTGGTGTAAATTTCCTATTTTTCTTTGTAAATTATGTCAACTTGGTTTTTGGCGGTTTCAGTTGCACTGCTAACGCACGTGTCATGCGTGTCATGGCCAACTAGAGCAGAAATTAAAAAAAATCATACGGTACTACATCTTACAGGTGTTTTTAAGAATTATTTAGTGTATTTTAAGACGACGTCATCAACTTTTCGAATGAATAAAAAAATAGATTTTACTTAACGTCCTGTAATTTTTAATGTTGATAGTAAAATTTGGTTCTACAAGCATTGTTTGATTATAAACATCATATGTAAAGTCAAAATAGGAATCCAATGAAAAACCACACGGAAAAGTAAAATAAAAGTTAAAAAAACTAGTTCCAATTTTTACTTCCAGAGCGTAAGCTAAGGATGTATTGTAATAGGGTCCATCCGGCGAATGGCTACTTTCATGTTTTCTCGAAGTTTCTCTAGAGTATATATCTGTTACGAATAACCTAATACATTTTCGAATTAAAATGCACACATTTTGTCATTATTACATAAATTTAGGTATTAGAAATTTCCTTATTTTAAGAAGTTCAAAAAAATAATGAATTAATTTTTTCATTTTCAGGTACACTGATTCTGAATTTTTAAACACGTTTTTTTTTTGGTTCTCAAACACTTAACATGCTTAAATTTATAACCACACAGGGTTTTAATTTTTAATTTTCCAATGATCTGAGTGAACGTCGAACCATTTTCTTTTTTTATTTTAAGGATAAATTAAGAAAATATATATTGAAGTAACTTGTTAACTGGGTCAATAGAATAGTTCACTCTAAATCTGATCCTGAAAATTTCATATTTTGAACATTTTAAACGTAGAATATTTAAAAAAATTTGAAAATATCATCATTTTTGAAAAATATGAATAAACTTTTTTTTAAGCTTGTGGGATGGCAGAATTACAAAAACAAATTACTTTTTTAGAGTGAAATAGGTCACTGTTGGCGTTTTTTGAAACTTTTGTAACATTATTCTAATTCATGATAAAAAAACAATAACTCAAAAATTAAAAACAAAAATTTCGAATGAATTTTTTTCAAAAACCGAAATCCAAGAACCAAAAACGATCGATTTTTATAAATTCACGATAAACAGAAACCGTCGCCAATTTTACTTACGATAAAGTAACTTTAAAAAACCATTTTAAAATTTTATTTCCTCGCCTCCCAAGCACTACAGATACTGACCGTACCCATGCTAATACCTATACGAAATTTTGCTTTCTACAGTTTGGAAATCCCTAGTGATAAAACAGTTTTCTTGTTTACAAAATCAGTCAACATTTTAAGATTGATTTTCTTTAAATGCAGCTGGTTGTAAAGATGTTTAGTCCACATTATTATGGACACATTCCATTTAAAATCTGGGTTAGAAACCTAAATTTTCCAAAATCTAAGAGTACATAAAGACGAAAATTGCGTCCATGCAAATTGACAATCATACAAAGGTATAAAATTAACGAGATACTCGTGCTTAACAAGTGCCAGTTGTTTTGAACAGAAAATGTACTTTATTTTCATTAACCTTGGACTCTTCTTGACGTAAATTCATTGCAAACGTTTGCCATTAATTGATAGCGTGAATTAGTGTAAGTAACGATAATCATTTCGTTCCTAACTCGAACTATCACACCTTTAGCACTCTCTGTTTTCCCGGAGACGTAACTAACATTCCTCCAGCCGTTGCCACTGCTGCCAACAGCCACGACTTAATTAATTTTGCTCCGGTAAGCCTAACAACCAGCATAAATTTAATGCGATTGTAAAATCAGAATCGTTAAAAGATCCTGACGACCACTCCGTGAAAATGAATTTAATGTCTTTGTCGTGTTCCACCATCCAGCGTGGGTAACGCGAGAAATCGCAAATAAACCATCGCACACGATGCTATCTCAGTTTAATTAACCAATAAATTGCATCTTTTGCAGAGCACATTTTGGGAGTGCCTCAACGCCACGTTCAAAGGTAAGTCATTTTCCTCCGAAATTTGCATTTTCGTATCATTTAAATAAAGAATTAATTAAAAAACAACACATGTCGTAAATAATACAGGTTTAACAGTTCGAACAAATTAATAGACACGTTTAATTTAATTTATAGAGACAGGTTAGGTGTGTTTAACGCTGATTTTTTGATTTATGTTATTAATTCTGCGGTTTTTTGGCGCGATCGAGCGGTGCTAAATCCGACGTCTTGACAGACGGCGAGGGAAAGGCGTGTTAAAGCACTTTTGGCGAATTAAATTTAGATAAGGGGTTATTTTCTGCCCGCGCTGCCAGGAAAATATTTTTAAAATATTGGGTGCTTAACAGCGTGGTGTCACAAAGACATTCGAAAGTGCAACATGTGGGTAGGAATTATGATATGGATTTAAATAGACACTTAAAAATGAATAATTCAGCGACGCTATATATGGACAATTCCATACCGGACCGGATAAACGCGACCTCGGCTTTATGGATTTTTCCCAAAAGAGGAGGAATTGTATCAAATTCAAAGCTGAGTCAATCAAGTCGAATCATTTCGGAGACTAAATTATTAGGGAGATACAAATAAAACGCCTACGACGACGCCGAAGATTTTTTCACAAAAAAGTTCACGCGTTTCGCCAACAATGTTGACATCTGAAAGCTAAAGTTTACGTATTTTCAACTGAATACAGATTATTTGAAGCTTTTGTAGATCAAGTCAGAGATCACTTTACTCAAAAATGCAGAAACAGTTTTACAAAACGTAATTTTTAAAAATAAAGTCAAAAATGTTTCAATGATGTAGCAATTTTAAGAGCTTTAATACAAACATTTTGTGAATTCTATTTTTGTCTATTGGAGAATACTTCAATTTTGATTTAGAGATGTTTTATCAAAGTATTATCTAAGAGTCTCAACAAGTTAGTAAATATTATAGTAAGTTTTACTGGAGTCAATTTTTTAGTAAGTTATAAAGTTAAGAGTCTCTCAAGTTAAGTACTTCCGATAAAATAAACTACACTGAAGTACAATGCAATTACAATAAAAAATAGAAGAATCTTGATATCCCAAATATAGTCGTTATTGATAGTTAAAAACTGATGAACAAATTATATATATATATAAAATTATCTGAAAACAAAGATAGTGTGTTTAACTGAGATGCTGGTCTTTTCCTCCTACTCTTCTTGGTTCAATCTGATGACGAATGTTAATTTCTTATAAAATTTCCCGAATTAAACTAGAAAGGTGGTAACAAAAAATGTGTAATAATAGTGTGCGATCAACAAAAGTCGTCTTGCTGCTGTCAGCGCCACCTAGGGGACGATTTTTATTGGCCACACTACATTAATAAATAAATTTTCATTCTTTGTAAAATAGATATAATACTAAAATAAAAGATTCATATTGCAGAAGTTAATACATATTCATAAAGTAGGATTCTACATATTTTGAGAAAGCAGTTAGCAGACTTCAAAAAAAGTGTACAAAAAAATACAAATTCACTGTAAATCTAAATTGGAAAAAAATGTGAACAATTATAGTGAGGGGAAGTTAAAAATACCCAAGTAGTATCTTGTAAATGAAACATCCTGTATATTTTCACAGATTTAGATTATTTATGGAAAACGGAAAAAATAATTTTCGAAATATTTACGTTTCAATGGAAAAAATCTCACGTTTAAAAATTGACAACTCCACCATTTTTAACAATGGAGGTCTAATTTTTAGTCCCATTGTTCTATGTATAAAAAAATCAACACCTATTTATACAGGCTGATTAAATTTCCAAATTGTTAGCTAATGGGACACCTGTATTTTACAATATTTTCGAACTTGTTCTACGAAACTATTAGATTAAACGTAACAATATACAGGGTGTCTGTATAAAAAAACTATCTTAGTCTTCAATTCATATACACTTGTGAAAGCTAGGGATCGTTTTATGCCAGATTCCAAACCTCCATCTTTAAACAGGGTACATATCAGTTTTTTTCTAAAACTATAAAAATATAGGTATATGGTATTACTTTTAAAAAATACGTTCGAAGCACAATAGAACAAATCCCGCTTTTTCTAAAAATTATAAAATTTGATTTTGCGAAATTTTATTCATTTTATAATAGCCCTTATAATTTGAAAAATATAGATAACAATCGCAGTGTAGGAAAAAAAGTAGCCAGAATTTTTTGGGTAGATCTAGATATACACGGTAAACAATGAAGGCGGATTCATAAACCACAAGTACAGGAGTACATTTTCTAAATTTAAGTGGTATATACTATGTAAAATTTTGAGGTGATGTGATCAAATTGTTGGTGGGGATAATCAGACAAATTTTGATTAGAGTTTCATCGTCTACATGATAATAATAATATGTGTATTTATAAAATTGGACTCCAGTTTGTCTAATAAAAATCACCACAGCCGACAGACGACAGACAAATGAAAACGGAGGACCTATTGTTCACAGTCTTCATTTTCGACAATTTTCGAAACTTAACTGACGACGTTTTCTTATATGAGATTTCAACCTCTAAAAGTTAGTTTCGATTTATTCAGAGTTGCCCATTCAAATATTGCCATTTTTTGGATTAAAAAATATATTTTTTTAAACCGATTTTTTAAAATTCTGCTCCGGATGCATTAGCACGCTATTTTTTTTTCAATCAGTACGATGAAATGTATATCCCAGAATTGTTTGGGAATTTTTTGGGAACTTTTAAAAACAAAACTTTGAAAATTTCGGTCAATGTTCGAAAATTTTGGAAACTAAAGATGTTTTATTATAGATTTCGGCCTCATTTCTTCAAAAATTCCTACCATTTCCCAAAATCGCCCAGCCAATATTACAATTTTTTGGATTAAAAAATATAAATACTCTATATTTTTTCAAGCCGGATATTTTTAAATCTTGCTCTAAATGCATAAACACGCCCATCCGATTATTACAATTTTTCATACATATACACGCTATTTTTTTGATATCAACACAACGAAATCTTTATCCTAGAATTTTTTGACATTTTTTGGCAATGTTTTCCATCCAAGAATGATCATTTTTTAATTAAAAAATATGTGTATATTTTCAAACCGAATACTTTTAAATCTTGCCTCAAATGCATAAACACGTCAAGTTTTTGAAATAAATACAACGAAATGTATATCTGGAATTTTTTTTGGAATTTTACGGCAACCTTTATTGAATTATACTGAAAATTTTGGCCATTTTCGAAACTTAACCAAAGACATTTGCTTATAAATTTCCACATCCAGAAGTTAATTTCGGCCTCATTTCTGCGAAAATTCATACTATTTTTCCAGAATCACCCATCGAAATATTGCCATTTTTTTTTAAATTAAAAAAAAAACAAATTTTTAAACCGAATATTTTTAAGTCCTGCCCCTGATGCATAAACATGCTATTTCTTCAAATAAACACGGCGAAATCTATACCCCACAATTTTTTGGAATTTTTTGACAACTTTCTCCATTCAAAAATTGCCATTTTTGGATTTAAAAAAGTGTAATCTTTCAAACCGAATATTTTTAGATTTTGCCCCGGATATATAAACACACCATTTTTTTAAAATCAGCACGACGAAATCTTTGTGCCAGCATTTTTTGGAAATTTTTTTGGAACTTTTTAAAAACAAAATTAAAAAATTTAGTCCAATTTTCGACAATTTTCGAAGCCTTTCTAAAGACATTTTCTTATAGGTTTCTAACCCCCGAAGTTAGTTGAGGCCTCATTTCTTCGATATATCTTGTCATTGTTTCAGAATCGCCCATTCAAATATTGCCATTTTTTGAATTTAAAACAAAATGGATTTTCGAACCTAATATTTTTAAATCTTGCCTTGCATACGAAAACACACTATGTTTTTGAAATCAGCACAATAAAATCTATATGTATCTCAGAATTTTTGGGAATTTTTAGCAACTTTTTTAAAAGCAAAACTCAAAATTTCGGCCAATTTTCGACAATTTTCGAAACTTAAAGACATTTTCTTGTAGACAACGACTTGCAGAAGTTAGTTTCTGCCTCATTTTTTCGGAAATTTCTACCATTTTTTAGAATCGCCCATTCAAATATTAGGTACCATTTTTTTAGTAAAAAAAAAAAATTCAAAACAAATATTTTTAAATCTTCCCCCTGATGCATAACCACTTTTTTTGTAAATCAACACGACGAAATCTATATCCCAGTATTTTTTCGGATTTTTGAGCAACTTTTTCCAATCAAATATTGGCATTTTTGGATTTAAAAAATATACATATTCTCAAACCGAATATTTTTAAATATTGCCCCGGATACATAAGTACGTTATATATTTTTTTTTAAATCAACACCACGTAATATATACCCCAGAATTTTTTGTGATTTTTTGTCAACTTTTTCCATACATACAAAAATTGCCATTCTCGAATTTAGAAAACATATATTTTTTCAAGACGAATATTTTTAAATCTTGCACTGGACGTATAAACACGCATTTTTTTTGAGTCAACACGATGAAATCTGTGCCCCAGATTTTTTTGGAACTTTATAAAAGCAAAATATGAAAATTTCGACCAATTTTCGAAGCTTAACTAAAGATAATTTCGTATAGATTTCGACCTCCAGAGTCATTTCTTCGATATCTCCTGTCATTGTTTAAGAATCGCCCATTCAAAGATTGCAATTTTCTTCGATTTAAGACAAAATTTTTTTTTCAAACCGAATATTTTTAAATCATGTCCAGACAGAAAGCATAAACACCCTATATTTTTGAAATCAGTACGACAAAATCTATATCCCCGAATTGTTTGCGAATTTTTTGGTAGCTTTGAAAATTTCGGCCAATTTTCGACAATTCTTGAAATTTAAATTACCACAAACATGGAAAAACAACGATGAAAAGACGACGAAACAAAAAACTTAAAAAAAGAAAGTGGGCGATAAGACAAGGGATACAGTGAGCAAGAAAAACGAATACAGAAATGTCTCACTAA